CCCGCCCCCAAGCTCCGAGGCCCCACAGCCAGCCGCACCGTGCGGCGCGCCCGCGGCTCTGCTTGTCCATAGAGTGGTCACGAGGAGGACGGTGTGTACCAACCAAGGGGTACTTCACTCAAGAAAATTTCAGTGTACACCCTAAAAAAAAAGACAGAAAATATCGGAGAAAATCTGAAAAAAAAATCAGTGTACGATTGAATTTATAGTGAATTACCCGAATTACCCCACAGCACCAACCACACTAGCGGAATGTTTGGGATGCTGTTGTCAAACTTTTGGGAACACTTTGACATTGAAACATATTATGACTGTCAATTATATTTGTGGCGTGAAAATGATAAAATAGTCTGTTTCAGAAGCTTTATTGGCAAAACAAAGTTTTTCTTTTAAAAATAATATATATTTTCTAATTATTTATTTTCAGGACAACTTTGAGTCCCCTCGTCTGGGAAGAAGAGCGCCACCCACAGCCAATGGTGCTCGGGGTTCTGGATTGAATGGTCTGAGGAATATTGGCAATACAGTAAGTTTAAGTTGTATAAAAAGTGTTTAAGGGTTTTAATTTTAAAAGTATTAAGTCATTGTTTTTCTATTTCAGTGCTTCATGAATTCAGTGATTCAGTGCCTGAGCAATACCCGACCACTCTTGGAATACCTCCTTAAGCAAACATACTTATCAGAGACCAACACAACAAACTCAAGTATGAAAGGAGCTTTAATCAAAGGTAACTAACACCTGATGTAAAACCGTGTAAAACCTATTACAGAAGTGTTACTTCTTGAAAAGCAATTTTTAATATGGAATTGTTTAATTTTACTGATTACCAGCCTTTGCAAAGATGATTGAGGAATTGTGGACTGGAGAGGGGCAGGTCATCAACACATCAGCATTTAAGGGACAGATACAACACTTTGCTCCACGATTCATGGGTTACAGTCAACAAGACGCTCAAGAGTTTTTGCGTTACCTACTTGAAGGTAAGGACACTTCCGTTTGTAAAGACTCATTTAGATTCTCAAAGATTCTCAAGTCTTATGACTACAGCAATTTTTTTTCCCCTTTATATTAGGTCTGCACGAGGATGTCAATCGAGTTGAGCATAGGCCAAGCACTGTTCTTCCCGATATAGATGACTCTTTGAGTGACAATCAAAAGGCTGAAGAATCCTGGCGACGATATTTAAGGATTGACAATAGCTCTGTATTAGATGTATTTGTTGGTCAGCTAAAATCAACACTGAAATGTACAGTGTGTGGGCATTGCTCAGTTACTTTTGATCCATTCTGGGATTTGAGCTTACCCATTCCATCCCGGACTGGTCAATTACGACTTCATCAATGTCTTGAACATTTTACACGAGAAGAAGTTCTTGATGGAGATGAGAAGCCTGTATGTAATCTGTTTCTTTCTTGAAAGCACTTACCTTGACATTTAATCATTGAGTTTACATTCTAATTATTTATTGATTTTCAGACTTGTGCAAAGTGCCAAACCCGAAGGAAGTGCACTAAGAGCTTCTCAATTCAGAAATTCCCAAAGACTCTTGTAATTCGTATCCTTTCAATCACCAGAA